TTTGAGGTGGCAAAGAGCTCGATTTTAATCTTATTCTGCAAAGCTTATATCGGATCAACAGGCAATGGAGGTCTCTGGGGAAAATGTTGAGAATTTCAAGGTGATTTTTCGTTACTCATTTCAGTCTGAAAGACTTTTTCACTTTTTTGAGGTTTTTTTCACTCCACTCATTTTTGTTTTCGTTTTTCTTCACCTTTGCTACCTATCTTCTCTATTTTATTGAAGCATCTTAGGAGTTCTGTGGGATAACTGATGAGGATGTGGCTGTGAGATACTTGCGTCATTGTCATGGAGATCTACAAGCGGCTGTTCAGTTGTATTTCCAAGTAATTTTCTTTTCGATTTGTTTACAACACTCGAAAGTTCAACTCTCTAGACCGATGGTATTCTTGACGATGATGATAATGAGGATGCGGACGATATGGATGTTGCAGAATACCCGCGGAACGGTCGTGCTCGAGCTTTAGATCACGACTGGGATCATGCAGAAACTAGTTCCTCATTGAACTCTATTGCGACCGCTAGGTTTGTGAGTTCTTGCGATGCCAAACTTTTGTGTTCTTCTCTTTAGGCCGGGTCCACAGTGGTCCGTGGTGCAGCCTTGGCGTCAGTTCATCGTTGCTCTAATCACGTTACCGTTCAACTTTGTCTTCACCACTATCTTTGATATTTTAAAATTCTTCTGTAAGTCGGTTTGCCTTCTTGCACTCTAGATATACTAATAATCTTTATCAGGTGACATAATTTTTGGAGAACGACGTCCTTCGATCACCAATTACCGCGAGGATGTGGCGAAGTTTAGGCAAGGCGTGCGTGAGAGACTCGGTGAGAGGCAAGTGGAGTTCTACGATGGAACTTACGAAGAGGTTCGTGGTCTTACTACTCAACACTTTCTGCTCGTGTCTGCGAAATGGCTTCGTCTCTTCATCACTATGCATGCATACCCTGTAATTAGGCAGTCCGCATCTGGTGGTCGAATTGTGAAAGTCATGTGTCTTGGGCGTGTGAACTGCGCATTATTTCTTGTAGCAACATCGTTAGATACAGCATGCAAACTTTCTATCA